TAGTGGGTAACAATTCGACTCTCACACTGTTTGGGGTTCGTCTCTATGATCGTTTCTCTCGAGATGGTGATGGGAACGAGCACCACCCGCCTATAAAAGGTTTTTTACCACCCCCTCAAAAAAAAAAAGAAAAAAAAACTCATTCGCAACCACTAAATTTTTGACTTTGTTGTACTTTTGTCATTGCGATGTGGACAATTTGTCTCAAAAGTCTCCATTTTTTATGAAGTTCTTGTTTTTGTCTCAAAATGGTGTTTACTTTTTGTCGTTTTCGACTGGAGGTGGCGCTTCGTGCGTAGAGAAATTTATTATCCTAGACTTTTCAAGATTACCATATTAATTGTCATTTTTTGACGTTTGTACAAAAAGAAGTTTTATATACATATTTATTTTCTTTTTGTAGTTCTCTGCAAACTTATTTGTTTACAAGAGGGTAGTGATGGCGCGACAATTCTTTTTAGTAAATCGATTCAAACGATTCAACTTCTCAAACCGAACCTACTGATACGACTCGTCCAACTTTTAGTCCCCAAACCAAAAATGGAGTTTCGCCAGGTGGCGCTTCGTGCGTAGAGAAATTTATTATCCTAGACTTTTAAAGATTACCATACATTTGAACAAACTGTATTCTAAGCTATACATCGATTTTTATGATTATTTTGAATATTTATTCAAATGAATGGTTCATTAATTCTACTTTTGCTGAGATTATGGCAATTGCTTGGTACTAGGGGCTGATTATCGATTGCTACCGACGGCTCTCAAAATATTTCCATTATTTTTTTTTTTTAATTTTCAAGTTAAATAACTCGGTTATTATTAATTTATTTTAAAAATAGTAAAGAGAAAGTATGTTTCTTTTTGCCAGACCACCCATTAAAATACTTGCACTTATTTCTGGTACACCCTGTAAAATCTGATAAAACAGTTACTCCTCTTGTGAAATTATTTTATTATTTCCTGAACTAACTTGAATCCAAAGTTCACAGAATAAAATATAATTTGCTAAACTTTACCTGAACTCAGATGACATCAGTATAAAATATCAATGAACATTATCGTCAAATTAGCGAATGAGTACCTGTTAAGTGTTTACATGTTACGTTAGCGCAAATTATTAATGATTAAAAAATAATTCTTTTCAGATAACAGTATTTTTTGTAGTTGCTAAGAATGTAGAGATAGGAAAACTTTTTATATGAAAGTATAAAAATGATAAATATGTTCTATTCGGTTGCGAAAAAAATAGGTTTCATGGGACATTCGCCATTTCTATAAAACTTTGAAGGTAGTAGTAAAATATAAAAAAATAATGTATAAGAAAATATATCTTAACGAGTCTACAGTATGTTCCCGGGGATTGTCTTCACTTAAGAGGGGAACAACTTTTTTAATATTGACATTTTGAGAAAAAAATCATAAAAAATTTTGCTTGTCTCAAAGGGTTAATCCTGTTTATACTTTTCCAAATATTCATACTGTTTTAGAGACAATTAAAAAAAAACATGAAAACATAGTTGAATTTCTTCTAATTCTTAAAACTCAAGACGCGTTTCTATGGCAATATAATTTCATTTTCATTCTTTGATAGATTGTTATTTATAGAATTTTAATTAACGTCGTATTTCTTGCTGGTTTAAAATGTTAAAGAAGTTATACATACTTAGTTGAATTATTTCTTATGGAGTATGCCTAATCTAATGTACAACTAACTAGTACAAAAAAAGACATACTAATAAGTAACACAACACTGACATTAGATATAGTTGAAGGATATATATTTGGAACAACTAATACACAGATCCAGAAATCAACGGAAGAATTAAGTTAGCATGGAATAATTATGGAAGAAATTCAATCACATTCAAATCTAGAATGCCACTTTATCTAAAGAAGAAAACATTCGCCTAATGTGTACTATCAGTCATGACCTATGCATGCGAAACCTAGACACTTAAAACGGACATTATAATGAAATTGCAGGTCGCACAACGCTCAATAGAACGAAATGTGCTGGAAATAACCAACAAAGACCATGATGATGATGAATCTATTTCGTATAACTTTTTTTAAACATCGCAATAAATAAAACCCTTCTCCATCTTATGAATATTTCTCATGCTGGGTACAAAATAAAGTATATTATTCGTATACCTATACAGGGTACGTCTCAAAAGTGACTCACCCCTATAATTTTTTTATTTATTCAGATAAAAATCGAGATTTAGTATGTTAGTATATGATATAAATTAGGATTGATTGACGTAATCAATTAATTGTTTTTGGTCACTTCCTGTTTCACCGGAAATGATTACAACTTTTGATTTTTATTTGATATCTTTATTTGATAGAAAATGACATTCTGAAAAGAAAGACATACCATACGTCTTTACATTTTCGAATATATGGTTCATTTGAAATTGCAACATGCGATATATCAACAGGTTGACACGAAATACCAAGTGTGTACATGGTACCAAATTATTCATAAGATAGAAAACAAATTTCTTGCAGTATAGGTATATAATAAAATTATATAAGGATTCTTGCCACTTAACTACTGACGCACCATGTATACTCTTATTTCAAGGTTTCACATTTAGGTATTTTAATTTAGGTATTGTTCAAATGATTCGTGTTGAGGACTATTCAGTACTGCGCAGTAGAGATGGGCATTTGGATTGAAAAAAAAAACTTTTGAAAACTTTACAATAGAGTAGTCTTTAGTCAATTTAGTCAAGAGAGTCGACAAAAAATCGTCTTTTAGTGCGATCCAACAGTCTCAACAACAATATCAGCCGTAACAGCAAAGGCTCTTATTCTGTAGCAGACAAAATAAATCGCATCATGACTATCGTAAATTCTTCGAGGCTGTAAAAGAAGTATACGGCCCAACTAAGAACGTAAGCAGCCCAATCAAGGCACAAAACGGTGAACTTCTAAAAGAGGAAGAGCAAATCAGAAATCGCTGGAACGAGCATTACAGCCATACCCTTAACCAAGATAACATCTCCAATATACAAGCACTAAACAATACCTCAGTATAACACCATCGATGTATTAGATATCCCAATAACGGAACAGGAAATAAAGGCCTCCATAAAACAACTTAAAAACAAAACAAATCGGCTGCCTGTGACGCGATTCCAGCGGAAATCTATAAGTGTGCAAGTAAAGAACTTTTAGGCCATCTTAAGGCTCTCTTCGATGTCATACGGGAAAGCGGAGAGGTACCTCAGGACTTTCGCAACGCGAATATAGTGAATATATTTAAGAACAAAGGAAGTGCATCAAATTGCGGAAACTACCGAGGCATTTCACTACTGGTTATCAGAGGAAAAGTTCTCGCAAAAATTATGTCAAACCGCCTTCACCCACATATAGAAAAAATACTCCCAGAATCGCAAACGGGCTTTGGCACCAACCGCGGTACCGTTGATTCCATATTCTCCGTCCGCCAACTACAGGAAAAAGTAAAGGAACAGCAGAGTAAACTTTATGTTGCATCTATCGACCTAACTAAAGCCTTCGACTCTGTAAACAGAGATGCACTTTGGGCAATTATGCAAAAGTTCGGAGTGCCCAACAAATTTCTTACTGTGTGTAAAAGCTTCCATAACAACAACATGTGGAGAGTGTCACATCATGGATCACTGAGCGATCCCTTCCTGACAAATACAGGAGTTAGGCAGGGATGTGTCCTAGCTCCTCTCCTATTCAATATATTCATGGCAGCGCTCTCTATTATAGTGGACTGCAAACTGCAAGAAAGAGGAATGGGTGTTAGATACAGGTATGACGGCGGTCTGTTCAACATAAAAAGACTCAGGGCAAAAATACGTATAAAATTCATCACAGAACTCCAATACGCTGATGACTGCGCTCTAGTTGCAAATACGTTACAGCAATTACAGGAAATGCTGAACACATGTACCTAGGCATACGAGACTTTGGGCCTTAAACTGAACATCGATAAAACTAAAATCATGTGCACTCCCCCGGAAAATCATAACAGCTCTATAAAAATCGGAGAAGAACTATTGGAATATGTATCGGAATTTAGTTACATAGGCAGTTTGATTTCGCAAAAGGCAAATATCGACTTTGAAATTCAGCACAGAATCAGTAGCGCCTCAAGAGCATCCTGGAAATTAAAAGACAGGGTTTTCTACAATCATGACTTGAGCACAAAAACGAAACTTGCAGCGTATCGAGCAGTAATAATCCCCACCATGCTATATGGAAGTGAAACCTGGGTGCCGTACCGCCAGCACACGAGCGCATTAAACAAGTTACAACAGAGACACCTTAGACAACTGTTAAGAATCAAATGGTACCACCATGTCTCAAATGTATCAGTCCTTGAAAACGCAAGCTGCGAAAGCGCTGAAGTCTTGATTACTAAATCTCGCTTAAGATGGGCTGGCCACGTATGCAGGATGCAAGAAAACCGCCTACCAAAATCTCTTCTTTACGGTGAACTTGTAGAGGGTAAGAGGAAACCGGGTGGACAACTCAAAAGATACAAGGATGTTGTTCATGAAAACTTAAAGGGGATAAGTATGCAGCATCAGTGGGAGGAAGCAGCGCACAATAGAACGCAATGAAGGAGAATTGTAAATTCAGTTAATAACGACAACCAAAAAGTAATGAGGCAGCAAAGTAATGAGATTTTTGAATGTCCGGAGTGCGGAAGAGAGATAACATCACGTATCGGGCTTTTCAGTCACCGAAAAGCTCATGACAGGAATCGCCTTGCGTAACCAGCTTTTGATGCGTGTCAAATACTCGTCAGCGAGTAATGGTAGTAAGTAAGTAAATAAGGTATTCATTCGATTTGAGAAATTGAATCATGTGAATTTATTGACTAAAGAGAAATAGTCACAAATATCGCCAGCTTCAGGTGTTAATTAAAGTTTGTCTTGCCTTAGGACCGAAACTGTTTATTTCTCCTGTCATCAGAGTTTAATAAAGACAACTTATGTTTAATATGATATTACCTTGTTATGAAAATATCTTCTCTTTTTATTGTACCATCAACTAGTTTGGCCTTTAAAGCAGCACCTACTTCTTTTTCGTTACCATAAACATGGGCACAATCAATATGACGATAGCCAATATCAATAGCATCTTTAACTGCTTGTTCTACTTCGCCTGCTTTAGACTGAAATAAATGAGCATAATCTAAATTCATTTTCCAATTATAACTTTGTTAACTATTAAACTTCATACAGAACCTCGCAATTAGTGGAATAAATTAGTGGTTTCAATTACACTTTATACATTTTAGTTTACGATCATTCACAATGTTTAAAAAACACAATTAAAATTAATACCGTATGATCGAAAAAAAAGGCGTCCAGTTGGCTGAGAAATGACGATCGATGACATTTCCCATATAAATTTACATTTAAAATGACAGCGATCTTCATTTCATAGCCATCGCTGACGCCGTTTTTTCTCGATCATACGGTAGAATATCCTAGCAACAGTGTGAGTTAGTCAGTTATATCCATAGAGAACGCCTAATATTTAGCTTTTGAAACAATCCATTTTTGATTTCGAACCACTATTTCTCGTGACGAAGGAATAAAATCAAAGACCAAAATGACATTTCACGCAAAATTTGAGGTATAATTAGTGCAGAAGTTTGTTCCTTTAATTGCAATTTAAGCATTCAGAACGTCAAAATTAGTGGCAGTCATTTTCAATTAGTTTCTATTAATAAAAGTTACCACTAAATAAATACTACTACTAAATAAAAGTTAACAAACATTTGACTTTTCCACTAATTATACTTCAAAATTTGCGAGTAATGTCATGTTAGCCTCTTGAAATCTGTCAAGAGAAATTGTGGTTAGAAACCAAAAGTTAATTGTTTCATAAGCGAAATATTAGTTACTAGCGTGTACCAGCGACTTAATCATTTGTAATGGTGATGATAAAGCAAAGCAAGAATTTACATTAAACTGGATAAAATTTTCTGACATTTATGTCAGCATGAGAAAAAACAATATGGCGATATTATTATATAACTTGATAATATTTGAAGGGTAGTTTCATCTCGTTGGAATTTGACTTTCGAAAAATCCGTTTGCCAAAAATAAGCTTTTTACGTCAAGCAGTTTAAGCAGAATCGTGGTTAAGAAATTACCCAACTTTTTGGAACACCCTGTAGGATTTTTTAAAAAAATTCAAAATATGTAAAAAAAAACAAATAAAGTATGCTTGTCCAAGCGTTATCCCGAAAGACTAACCGTTTTTTAAATAACAAATATTGTAATATTTGAGGGGCGTTTTCACCCTCTTGGAATTTGAGATTCGAGAACCCCCCCTTATCGAACCTCTACACCCCACATTCAATCCGTTTACCAAAAATCAGCTTTAAACGTCAAGCAGTTTAAGCAGAATCGTGATTTCTCAATGGCCATATTTTATGAAACACCCTGTATAAATTTATAAAAATTTTTAAAATATGTAAAACAACAAAATAAAATATACGTGTTTAAGAGTTTTCCCGAAAAACTCACCGGTTTTTAAATAAAAAATATTTTAATATTTGAGGGATAGTTTCACCCCCTTAGAATTCGAGTTTCGAAAAATCCCTTCTTATCGAACCTCTACACCCTAAAGTCAATCTGTTTTCCAAAAATCAGCTTTTAACGTCAAGCGCTTTAGCAGGATCGTGATTAATCAATGACCAGATTTTTCGAAACACCCCGTATACATTTTTAAAAAATCTTAAAATATGCAAAAAACAAAATAAAATATACGTGTTTAAGCGTTTTTTTTGGAAACTTGACCGTTTTTTAAATAAAAAATACTGCAATATTTGAGGGGTGGTTTTTCTCTTGGAATTGGAATTTCGAAAAATCCCTTCTTATCGTACCTCTACACCCTAGAATTAACCTGTATGCCAAAATTGAGCTTCTTTCGTTGAGTGGTTTGAGCAGGATCGTGATTAATCAGTATGTCAGTCACTTAAGGATTTTATATATTAGTATAGATTCACTATGGATACAACTGACTACCGCAAGCTGTTGCTAGGATATGCTATTAATTTTAATTGTGTTTTTGAGACATTTTGAGTGATCGTAAACTAGAAAGTATAAAGTGTAAAACTTGATTCAGAACCTCGCAATTAGTGGAATATATTATTGGTTTCAATTAGCGTAGAGGTTTGTTCACCTATTTTTAATGTAAGCATATTTAGAACTTAATAATTAGGGGTAGTAATTCTCAGTTAGCCGAAAGAGTTTAAACCAAACTTTTGACTTTTCCACTAAATTATACTCCAAAATTTGCGAGGAATGTCATTTTGCCCTTTGATTATCATCCGTCAAGAAAAATTTTGGTTAGAAATCAAAAGTTTATTGTTTTATAAGCTAAATATTATGCTTTCTCTATGGATACAACAGACTACCGCATGCTGTTGCTAGGATATGTTATTAATTTTAATTGTGTTTTTTTAGACATTGTGAATGATCGTAAACTAAAAAGTATAAAGTGTAATTGAAACCACTAACTTATTCCACTAATTGCGAGGTTCTGCATGAAGCTTTAAGCGATATAGGGATATAGGTAAAGTTGTTCCATTAATTTGAAATAAAAATATATAATTAGCAACAAATCATCATTTATCTCTATATATTAAAAAAATATACATCTTATATTATCTTCATTAGCGTCTATCTTCATAATTTATCCATTTAGGCAGCTGTAACAAAGAACACCAATTAGCTTCATATAACCTAAATAATACTGAGAATATAAATTAAAATATGTTTATACTAACCAGCAGCAGCGGATTGGCCATATCCGTAGGCGGAGAATGGGTAAGCACTAAACGATCCATATTGGTATGGGGTGTAGCCTTTGTAGGAGTTGTAACTGTATGGGGTATAAGCACCAGAATATGCCGATGAACTGTATGGACCGTAATATCCGTAGCTAGATGAACCATATGAGTTGTAGGGATAGGAACCGTAGGTGTAAGAGTTGTATGGGTAAGAGTTAGATCCGTATGCGTAGGAATTGTATCCAGGGTAGGATGCAGATCCGTAACTGTAAGGGTAGACTGAAGAACCATAACCAGAGTTGAAAGGTCCGTAGGAGTAGCTGGAGCTGTAAGGAGCGTAATATCCGCTGTATCCAGATCCATAGCTGTATGGGTATCCATATAAACTGGCGTATCCAGAAGAGTAGCTGGAGCTGTATGGTCCGTAGTAGCTGCCGTAGCCAGCATAATTGTATGGGTAGTTTGAGCTATATTCAGAAGAGTAAGGTCCATAATAGCTGCTGTAGGCATTGTATGGTCCATAACCATAGCTGGAAGAACTGTATGGGCCATAGTTGTTAGAGTATCCATATCCGTAAGAGCTCTCTTTGTTGAAATACTGTTGGATTAAATTTTTGAAGTAGTTATATCCAGTTGGAGCGTATTGTTGGTATTTCGAGCTGGCAGATGGGTACCCATAACCATAATATGCTCCGAAGGCGTAGAAGGCTTGGTAAACAGACGACACGGCTCTGTAAGCATATTGGGCCTGTTCAGCAATAGTCTGGAAGTTGAATTTTTCAGCGGCTTGGTAGGCATTGTAGAATGCTTGTTGAGCAAACTGAATTTGTTGGGCAATGTATGAAGCTGAATAAGAACCTTCTTGAACGGCTTGGTAAACAGCCTGTACGTACTGCAATCCTTGTTGGATTTGTTGGTTGATGTAGGAAATACCTGGTGCTGCTTCAGATTCTTGGGCAAATCCTTGGGCAGATTGCAAGGCAGCTTCGGCGTAGTACTGAGCTTGTTGTAAGTATTGGCTTACGTAAGAACTTCCTGCTCCATATCTGCCATACCCATAGCTTCCATATCCGTAGTTACCATATGCAGAACCACTAGCATACCCATATGATGATGGTCCGTATTGGCTCGATTGGGTGAAAGGGTAGGAAATTGGTCCTGCAGACGCAAGTGCCAAGAAGGCAAGGAAAGCAACCGACTTCATCTTTTTTTCCTTCTGTATTACACTGGAAGGTGATCGATTAACTGATGCTGGTCGAATATTTTACGTCGGTATTTATAAGAAGAAATTATCGTTGTTTCACACACAGTTCCATGCTAGTAACACTTATCAGAATTGATAATATTTATGTTAATAAATTCAACACACAATTATGTTTTAATTGCTTAAAAATAACATGTTTGTTACAAATTTAATTAACACTTTTGATATAGTTTTTAAGAGGTGAAAAGTCGCAGTGTGGTCTTTAGATATGAGTTGATTGTAGTTTAATTAGTTGCCAGGCGAAAAAATATTAAGTACAAAAAATGAAACATGAAATTGTTTTCTATTTATAGGACACTGGCGTGTACCAGCGACTTCGTTCGCCTCAAGTTAATCATTTGTAATGGTGATGATAAAGCAAAGCAAGAGTTTCCATTAACATACAAACTGGATAAAATTTTCTCACAGTTATGTGAGCATGTGACAAAAGAATATGGCGATATTATTATATAACTTGGTAATATTTGAGGGGTAGTTTCATCTCGTTGGAATTTGACTTTCGAAAAATCCGTTTGCCAAAAATAAGCTTTTCATGTCAAAGAATTTAAGCAGAATCGTGGTTAAGAAATTACCCAACATTTTGGAACACCCTGTATGATTTTTTAAAAAATTTCACAATATGTAAAAAAAACAAATAAATTATGCTTATCCAAGCGTTTTCCCGAAAGACTAACCGTTTTTTAAATAACAAAAATTGTAATATTTGAGGGGCGTTTTCACCCTCTCGGAATTTGAGATTCGAGAAACCCCTCCTTATCGAATCTCTACACCCCGCAGTCGATCCGTTTACCAAAAATCAGCTTTAAACGTCTAGCAGTTTAAGCAGAATCGTGACTACTCAATGGTTATATTTTATGAAACACCCTGTATAAATTTATAAAAAATCTTAAAATATGTAAAACAACAAAATAAAATATACGTGTTTAAGAGATTTTCCAAAAAACTCACCGGTTTTTCAATAAAAAAGATTTTAATATTTGAGGGATAGTTTCACCCCCATAGAATTCGTGTTTCGAAAAATCCCTTCTTATCGAACCTCTACACTCTAAAGTCAATCTGTTTTCCAAAAATCAGCTTTTTACGTCAAGCGCTTTAAGCAGGATCATGATTAATCAATAACCAGATTTTTCGAAACACACTGTATACATTTTTTAAAAATCTTAAAATATGTAAAAAACAAAATAAAATATACGTGTTTAAGCGTTTTTTCGGAAACTTGACCGTTTTTTAAATAAAAAATATTGTAATATTTGAGGGTTGCTTTCACCCTCTTGGAACTGGAATTTCGAAAAATCCCTTCTTATCGAACCTCTACACCCTAGAATTAACCTGTATGCCAAAATTGGGCTTCTTACGTTGAGTGGTTTGAGCAGGATCGTGATTAATCAGTATGTCAGTCACTTAAGGATTTTATATTTTACTAGTGTGTACCAGCGACTTCGTTCGCGTCGAATTAATCATTTGTAATGGTGATGACAAAGCAAAGCAAGAATTTCCATTAACATACAAACTGGATAAAATTTTCTCACATTTATGTCAGCATGAGAAAAAACAATATGGCGATATTATTATATAATTTTTTAATATTTGAGGGGTAGTTTCATCTCGTTGGAATTTGACTTTCGAAAAATCCGTGTGCCAAAAATAAGCTTTTTACGTCAAGCAGTTTAAGCAGAATCGTGGTTAAGAAATTACCCAAATTTTTGGAACACCCTGTATGATTTTTTAAAAAATTTCAAAATATGTAAAAAAACCAAATAAATTATGCTTGTCCAAGCGTTTTCCCGAAAGACTAACCGTTTTTTAAATAACAAATATTGTAATATTTGAGGGGCGTTTTCACCCTCTTGGAATTTGAGATTCGAGAAACCCCGCCTTATCGAACCTCTACACCCCACAGTCAATCCGTTTGCCAAAAATCAGCTTAAAACGTCAAGCAGTTTAAGCAGAATCGTGATAACTCAATGGTCATATTTTATGAAACACCCTGTATAAATTTATAAAAAATCTTAAAATATGTAAAACAACAAAATAAAATATACGTGTTTAAGAGTTTTTCCGAAAAACTCACCGGTTTTTAAATAAAAAATATTTTAATATTTGAGGGATAGTTTCACCCCCTTAGAATTCGATTTTCGAAAAACCCCTTCTTATCGAACCTCTACACCCTAAAGTCCATCTGTTTTCCAAAAATCAGCTTTTTTCGTCCAGCGCTTTAATCAGTATCGTGATTAATCAATGACCAAATTTTTCGAAACACCCTGTATCCATTTTTAAATAATCTTAAAATATGTAAACAAGCAAAATAAAATATACGTGTTTAAGCGTTTTTTCGGAAACTTGACCGTTTTTTTAAATAAAAAATATTGTAATATTTGAGGGGTGGTTTCACCCGCTTGGAACTGGAATTTCGAAAAATCCCTTCATATCGAACCTCTACACCTTAGAATCAATCTGTATGCCAAAATTGAGCTTCTTACGTTGAGTGGTTTGAGCAGGATCGTGATTAATCAGTATGTCAGTCACTTAAGGATTTTATATATTAGTATAGATTAGTATAGATTCACTATGGATATAACTGACTACCGCAAGCTGTTGCTTGGATATGCTGTTAATTTTAATTGTATTTTTGAGACATTGTGAGTGATCGTAAACTAAAAAGTATAAACTGTAAAGCTTGATTCAGAATCTCGCAATTAGTGGAATAAATTAGTGGTTTCAATTAGCGTAGAAGTTTGTTCACCTATTTTTAATGTAAGCATATTCAGAACTTAATAATTAGTGCTAGTAATTCTCAGTTAGCCGAAAAAGTTTAAACCAAACTTTTGACTTTTCCACATGTTTTCCACTAATTATACTTCAAAATTTGCGAGGAATGTCATTTTGCCCTTTGATTATCATCCGTCAAGAAAAATTTTGGTTAGAAATCAAAAGTTTATTGTTTTATAAGCTAAATATTATATGCTTTCTCTATGGATACAACAGACTACCGCATGCTGTTGCTAGGATATGTTATTAATTTTAATTGTGTTTTTTAGACATTGTGAATGATCGTAAACTAAAAAGTATAAAGTGTAATTGAAACCGCTAATTTATTCCACTAATTGCGAGAAGCTTTAAGCGATATAGGGATATAGGTAAGGTTGTTCCATTAATTTGAAATAAAAATATATAATTAGCAACAAATCATCATTTATTTCTATATATTAAAAAAATATACATCTTATATTATCTTCATTAGCGTCTATCTTCATAATTTATCCGTTTAGGCAGCTGTAACAAAGAACACCAATTAGCTTCATATAACCTAAATAATACTGAGAATATAAATTAAAATATGTTTATACTAACCAGCAGCAGCGGATTGGCCATATCCGTAGGCGGAGAATGGGTAAGCACTAAACGATCCATATTGGTATGGGGTGTAGCCTTTGTAGGAGTTGTAACTGTATGGGGTATAAGCACCAGAATATGCCGATGAACTGTATGGACCGTAATATCCGTAGCTAGATGAACCATATGAGTTGTAGGGATAGGAACCGTAGGTGTAAGAGTTGTATGGGAAAGAGTTAGATCCGTATGCGTAGGAATTGTATCCAGGGTAGGATGCAGATCCGTAACTGTAAGGGTAGACTGAAGAACCATAACCAGAGTTGAAAGGTCCGTAGGAGTAGCTGGAGCTGTAAGGAGCGTAATATCCGCTGTATCCAGATCCATAGCTGTATGGGTATCCATATGAACTGGCGTATCCAGAAGAGTAGCTGGAGCTGTATGGTCCGTAGTAGCTGCCGTAGCCAGCATAATTGTATGGGTAGTTTGAGCTATATTCAGAAGAGTAAGGTCCATAATAGCTGCTGTAGGCATTGTATGGTCCATAACCATAGCTGGAAGAACTGTATGGGCCATAGTTGTTAGAGTATCCATATCCGTAAGAGCTGTCTTTGTTGAAATACTGTTGGATTAAATTTTTGAAGTAGTTATATCCAGTTGGAGCGTATTGTTGGTATTTTGAGCTGGCAGATGGGTATCCATAACCATAATATGCTCCGAAGGCGTAGAAGGCTTGGTAAACAGACGACACGGCTCTGTAAGCATATTGGGCCTGTTCAGCAATAGTCTGGAAGTTGAATTTTTCAGCGGCTTGGTAGGCATTGTAGAATGCTTGTTGAGCAAACTGAATTTGTTGGGCAATGTATGAAGGTGAATAAGAACCTTCTTGAACGGCTTGGTAAACAGCCTGTACGTACTGCAATCCTTGTTGAATTTGTTGGTTGATGTAGGAAATACCTTGAGCTGCTTCAGATTCTTGGGCAAATCCTTGGGCAGATTGCAAGGCAGCTTCGGCGTAGTACTGAGCTTGTTGTAAATATTGGCTTACGTAAGAACTTCCTGCTCCATATCTGCCATACCCATAGCTTCCATATCCGTAGTTACCATATGCAGAACCACTAGCATACCCATATGATGATGGTCCGTATTGGCTCGATTGGGTGAAAGGGTAGGAAATTGGTCCTGCAGACGCAAGTGCCAAGAAGGCAAGGAAAGCAATCGACTTCATCTTTTTTTCCTTCTGTATTACACTGGAAGGTGATCGATTAACTGATGCTGGTCGAATATTTTACGTCGGTATTTATAAGAAGAAATTATCGTTGTTTCACACACAGTTCCATGCTAGTAACACTTATCAGAATTGATAATATTTATGTTAATAAATTCAACACACAATTATGTTTTAATTGCTTAAAAATAACATGTTTGTTACAAATTTAATTAACACTTTTGATATAGTTTTTAAGAGGTGAAAAGTCGCAGTGTGGTCTTTAGATATGAGTTGATTGTAGTTTAATAAGTTGCCAGGCGAAAAAATATTAAGTACAAAAAATTAAACATGAAATTGTTTTCTATTTGTAGGACATCGTTAATACTACATAGTTAATATAATTATTAAAAACAGTTTTAGTACGATACAGCCACGGGCAATCAAAGTTAGTAAATGCAAATCACAAATCAGTACAATACAAAAATGTGTTGTATTTCTCTTTTTCTTGCACAAATTTATATTGTTTGACTAACTTTAGTGAATATTATGTCATTGTGCTGTGATGTCTAGTGAATAATTATGACTAATAAAAGACTAAATAAAGATTTAAAAAAAATGAAAAACATAATTCAGAGTTTTCGAAATCTAATGTCCCAAGAACATTAATTTAAGATTATTAAAAACTCATTAGTTTATATTAAAAAAGATTTATATTAACGATTAAGTTAACTAAAATTCTATTTCTTGATATATTTGTTACAGTTTCTTTATAAAAATATGGTATTCCTTGGTATTCTTTTTTATTTAGTTATACTATCTATTAATTTATTTGCTTAAAATAATATCCTATCAGAATACACAAGAACCAGATATTTAATTTCGGATTGATAGTGTAAACTAATACCTTTTTTTTAATTATACAGGATAGCTCAAATGGAATGTTACATTAAAGTATTATTGTAATTATTGTGGCTGTATATTTTTTCCTCAGAAGATTTTTTATACAGGGTGGTGCATCTCATTGGTCAAGCAACATCTCGGACGAAAACGGAAAGATTTAGAAACAAAATATTTTATGGGTATATGTGGAATGGTAATGTGCACGATTTAAAATTATACAGGGTGTTTCAGAACTAAGATCCATAGCAAAGTTATATTTTTTTCTTATGGAACACACACACATTCGGTATTTTATTTCATTTTTGGATACTTGGGCCTAAAAAGGCATTTATTATAAGGATTAAATATGTTTAACATCTTTGGTATTTGAGAAGATATTTAAAGATATTTAAATATGCATATTACAATAGAATAGATTATCAGCACCCTGTATATTACTTTTCAGAATTAATTCTGTGCTGTGTTTAAAGGTAGAGAAATAAACTGAAAAAATTATTTCTTCCTTAAATGTATACAAGGGTACCAAAAATTGCTGATCTACTGTAAATATTTATTTTGCTTAAAAACTTCGTTATTTCAACACCCCCTATTTTTTGAAACAAATCGCTGCAGATTCAAATGCTCTTTCAAACTATATTAGGTTTCCTCTACCTATCTAGTTAAGATTTTGAATAAAAAGTGATTTTTCAATAAAATGGCAATCAAGATGGCTGGTGTTGTCATGGAAATTTTCTAGTGACAGTAACTATTTTTTAAATTGGCATTAGTTTATGGAGTTTATTATTTAGATTTATAGCAGCCTTATGAACAAGGATAGCAGTTTACTTAAATTTACCTACAATAGTTTAGTAAGTAAGTATTTATTATTTTATCAAGAAAAACAAAGCAGTATCTGCTGGTGGAACAAATGGATATGTTATTTTGTGAGCGATTTTATTTTGTGAGGAAAATTGCTGCTTGGCCTCAAGGTCTTTATGCTCAAAGATATCCAAATAGGAATCTTCCTGATAAGCGTTCCTTTCAAAAACTACTTGTCCTATTTTCCTGATAAAGTAATAAAAACATATTTAATAAATATAATTTATTAAACTATTAATCAATCTACTATAAAGAATTACGAAGATATAAGAATATAGGATAATTATGAAGTTGGTGATAATTATCATTGGAGATCCTCGTTGGAATGAGCGACAGAGCTTTTAGCGAAATATGTATTCAGAAACAGGATTTATTTGGATAATAAAAATAAAATAGCAAGGTTTGCTTCTTTATATCATCTCTGAATAATTTTTTTGATGTAGTACAATCCTTACGAAAAACAATGTCCAATGTACAGTGTGCTTCAAACTTAGAACCTTGGTGTAATAGCAGGTAAGTTGAAAATAAACATTGGTAAAGTGCGAGTCGGACTCGTGCACGAAGGGTTCCGTACCATTCATTATCTATACAACATTAGACACTATATTATTAGAAACTTTTTTTCTGATTTAGCTGAAATTTTGAATGCGCGTATAAGTAATTTAAAAAAAATGAAGAAACACATTACCAAACATTATATGTTTATTGTAATCAATAATAAATATGTAAAAAGTAAAAATATGTAAAAATAAAAAAAAACGATGAAAAAAAGTCGCCTTGACTAGGATTCGAACCTGCCTTACTACGGCTCCAACGTCATATTAGCAGCGTAAAGTCCTAACGCTTTAAACCACGCGGCCACCGAGGACTTGAAAGATTCTATGTAAAATTCTTACTTAAAAGATAATGTCTAGTGAAAGTACTTTTTTTTATTTATAAACATTTATTTAGTTCTGTTTTTAGTATTTGTTCTTATAGCGGCAACATAGATACATTATCTGTAAAATTTTCCACTTTCTAGCTATAGCGGTTCATAAGATAGACCTCTGTGACAGACGGACGGACGGACGGACAGCGAAGTTTTAGTAATAGGGTTCCCTTTGGGTACGGAACCCTAAAAATCAACGTTAGTCTCAGGTATTAAAAAAGCTCTAGGTATTGGTTTTAGCCTAAGGTGCCAAGTTTGCATCACTGCTCAGGGCTACTGTCAGTCTGCATCGGAACTTCATTATAGTTAGTTTGATTTGGTTTAGTTTGATTTGGATTGCTTTTAATTGGTATATATTATTTTCAACTATAAAGCACAATAATTATTGAAGGGTCGGGGCAAAAATTAGGTAAAGTCAATTTGTTTGTTATACCTATTTAAATATTCGATACCTTGCATTCAGAGTGAGTTTAGGCATCTTTAGAAGCCGCAAAACTGGGAAAAAGCAACCAATCTGTAGATATACAGGGTGTCCCAGGTTGGGCGTGCATTAGAAGTTTCTAGAGAACTACAATATCTAGATCGGAGAGTTTTTGCACATTACTCTTTCATAACGAGATCTATTGATTAAAAATATTTTCAATATGGCGGTACTTCTCCAAATACCGGAACTTTACAGCAACTTTCTTATTTTAAACGGGTATCCCCATTTTTTATAACATACTTAAATTCTCTGTTAAATTTTATGAATTTTGATATCAAACTCTAATATTAACCGTTTTTGAGAAAAACAAATTTAACATTTTTGCATTAAATAAAATGCCTGTCAAAAAAAACTGTATAGCCTAAACGACAAATTTAGTGATTACCACAGCCACTGTGGCATAAAGAGAAGACATGTGGCTATCTATTTCAAAAATGAAATTGTTCGAATGTCATATAATATTGCCCATAGCTGTCATGGAATTGAGCGATTAAAAACTTATCATAATAACAGGGAATTAACATATTATTTTTTTAGCCGACCATACCAACAGGTATGGTAGGCTACTCGGTAGGCTATTAAGATCGACAAAAAAAAGTTTTTTTAATTTCACTCAAAATGAGTTATTTAGGTCATAAATGATCTAAATACAAAATATTTTCATGGTGTCTGTCTGTCTGTCCGTCTGTAACACGATAACTCAAAAACTGCTAAACCGATTTTAACCAAATTTGGCATAAAAATACTGTGGCACCCGAGAATCTGGCCATTAGTTTTTGGTCGGGGTGGGGGGTTGGTACGGTTGGTTGGTTGGTAAAGTTGGGAGGGAGGGGGTTAAAAATTTTAAAAAATCGTAACTCCAAAATTACAGTAGCTAGCGAAATACGGTTTTCACGTTAAGATTAGGAATAATATTTGCAACAAAATTTGTAATAACATCAAAATAAGTCAAAGTCGCAATTTTTGAGATAAAAAAAAATAGAAAAATTCCTTTACTTTGAAACTAAAAGAACTGCCTACCAACTTTTTATTAACATATTTTAGTATGGGCGGCTATACCTGCCTCCCAGTGCCAATTTTTTAAATGGAAATCCACTTTTTTATTTCACTAATGAAATGATTTTTTAATTCGTTACTTTTTGATTATACATGTTCCTATACTTAAAATAAATCGTTTTTAAGTTATTTAAGATTTAGTTTTAAAGCGTAATTTTTGCTTGATTTTATCTAGCTTCCTTTGACATTAAGTGTCAAATAATCAATTCTATTTCCTTCGGCCAAAAAACTAATTATTTGAATTTCGTATATTATAAATACTGCTGGTAAAGCTTTATAAAGTGTACTTATAAAAATATATCTTTTATTTTAGTGATACCTAATGGCAATATGGCCAGATATAGTTTTACATCGCGTGACGTTTAAAGTCATAAGCTCTTAAATAACTTCAAAACGATTTATCTTAGGTATAGGAACAAAGGAACATGTATAATCAAAAAGTAACGAATTAAAAAACCTTTTCCTTAGTGAAATAAAAAAATGGGTTTCCATTTGAAAAAAATTATTTATGATAATTTTTAATCGCTCTATTAGATGACAGCTACGGCCAATATTATATGGCATTCAAACAATTCAATTTTTGAAATAGATAGCCACATGTCTTTTCTTTATGCCCAGTGGCTGTGGTAACCACTAAATTTATAATTTAGGCTATACAGATTTTTTTGATAGGCAGTTTTTTTCCTGCAAAAAATTTAAATATGTTTTTTTCTCAAAAACAGTTAATGTTAGGTATAGAGTATAGAGTGTACCAAAATTCATGAAATTTTACAGAGAATTTAACTATGTATCCATTTAAAATAAGAAAGTTGCTGTCAACTTCCTGTATTTCCAGAAGTGCTGCCATATTGAAAATATTTTTAATCGATAGATCTCGTTCTGAAACAGCAGGCAAGTCAAGCAAAAAGAGAAAAAAACCAGGCAACTCATTGTTGAGTTCGTATACGTTTGTCCATTGCCCATTATGCCAAGTTCTAACAAATCTCTATTTTTATAAGTTCTGCTACTCTATTTTTGTAATGTTTTCTATATTAAATCGCGCTTTTCTCAGTTTGGCGAGAAATTTGCTTTTTTCCCTTGACCCTTCAATTTAAGTTTTGATATTCTTTGCCGGGTCTTTATGTCTGGCATTTCTAGAATATTTTTGGATATTTTTGTCTAATTCGTTTTCTTTTTCATGTATATTCTTTAATTCTGATTTAAAAATACTATAATACTTTATGTATAATGTTTTTCTTTTCTGATAACCACACATGAGGTTAAAAACTTTAGTAGGAAATAAACTGTTTATAAATATAAGAATAAAAGGAATATATAAGGGTACAAAGGTAAAGATGAATGAAAGATATTGTATAGTTAACAAAAATTTATTTCTTTAAAATCTTAAATATTATATAACATATAAATCTCCTCCTTTGAAGCTTAGGCAACTAGAAAAGAAAAAAGAAAATAATTAATACGCATGAAACGACAAAGGGACAATCAAATAATATAATTGCCATTTCTTTTAGAAATATAAAATCTCTTAAAACATATACTTCCAAAATAGTATATAATAATTAAAATAAAGAACAAAATAATAATAAATAAACCATAATCGAGATACTGACCATATGGTGCATTTCCCTCGTAGTTTTGATAAGAGGGTCCAGTGAAGGGGTAGGCGTGTTTACTGAAATATCCATACTGGGATGATGCTGGTACATTGGAATAGACATTGGGGTATGCTGCAGCTGAAGGGTAGTTTACTGGAACGTAAGACTCGAATCCATAAGATCCATAAGTGGTGTAAGGGTATCCTGCGCTGTAGGGTCCGTTATACTGATTTGGGTATCCTCCATAGGTGGGGTAAGCGTATTGTTGAACAGGTTGAACAGAGGGAGAAGCAAATTGTACATTGTTGGAATAGTTTTGTTGAATAGCTCGGACAACGTTCTGGACGGGTTGTTGAAGTAAATTAATTTGTTGAGCAACAGTTCGTTGTCCTTGTTTACGAGCCGCTTGGTAAGCGTTATAGAATGCTTGATAAGCTTGTTTTGCCTGTTGGAATACAAATGAAGGCGAGTTGTAAAACTGACCTTGTTGCACCTTTTCAGAAATATTTTGAATGTATTGTAAACCTTTCTTCAAGTATTCAACAATGTAGCTTGCGTTTTCAAATGGTCCATTTTGTTCAACAGCCTCTTGAGCAGTGGCAACTAATTTTTCAATTTGTTGGAATTGGTTCTTAACGTATTGGAAACCGTAGTTTTCTTCATTTTGGTACTGGAATCCTTGTTGGAAACCTTGGAATGTACCTTGAGATCCGCTGACAAACTGTTGTGAAAGAGTGTATGCATTTTGAGCAGCTTGCACAGCATTCTGGATTGGCTGTTCAAAGTTTTCAATATTTTGTGTGAAGGTACCTTGTACTTGTTGGTCGTTGATGTATTGGTAGGCTCTTTGGAAGTACTGCAAAGCTTGCTGAATTCTGTTCGAAGCAATTTCAACGAAATATTGTTGATAGTATTGTTGTTGGTAAGCTTGGAAAAATTCTTTAGCAACTCGTGCATTTGCTATACCTTCTCCCAATTGTTGGCTCACATATTGGTAGACAGTTGCGGGTAAGTTGCTAGTTGCCAAAACTTTTTGAGCGGCTACTGCGTATTGATACGCTTGTTCTGCTTGGTACACGGCCTGAGAAAAATTATTGTCCGCATTGCCAAAAACCTTCTGCCCTTGATATTGGTTCTTTTGGTATTCTTCAAATTGACCAGAGGCAGCGGCTAGGGCGATAAGGCCCAAAAATACGATCGACTTCATTTTCTTAATTAGAGGACACTATTCGGAACACTCGTTAGAAAATAGTGACGTTAAAAACTTACCCCCCATATTTATATATGAAAATTATCGCCCGCTGTCAAAATGTTCCGCAACACTGACATTATTTTTAATTTCATAATAAATAACAAAAATGTATAATTAACAAAAATGCTGGCTATAAGGTTATCAAAACACAGTGTGATCTTTAAATATTCAATTTACTTTATTTTCTTAACCTTTAGCAGACCGATATAATTTTAAGGTAAAATTAAGTATAGTTACATTACTTGTATATGTATAGTGAAATCAACCGATCGATGCAATGTTAAGATATGTATATTTTATTCCAGTATTGATGAAATTAGTATTTGCTGTCCAACAATGAATTAATTCTTAAATTACAAAATATACAATGTTTAATAATATATTGACTTTGTTGCAGAAGCCTATAGAAAAAACATATGTTCAAAATAATTTTAAAACAAATATTTTTTCGTACTGGTTATGCAGATTTGAGTTTGGTTTTGATTTGAGTTCAATATGAAATAGAAAATATTCCTATTAATATAGAGATATGGCTACGATATTGGGTACTAGAGGAGGCGTTATTTTGATAAATATGGTAGATAAAATGTCATAATAATTGCTAATACGATATTAGCATTATCACATTCCATTATTCTTATGTACAGGGTGTCCCACTAAGAATAGCTCTCGGCTGTATTTCGGAAAGTATTAGCCGTAAAGCCTACGGAAAAAAATATTTATAACTAAAGGGTCTATGAGAAATTGCTGGAAATTATTTTCAAGTTTAAACGCCCGCTAGAAGGCGCAGCTGCTATGGAAAATAAGAAAATAGACTTTTTACAGAATTTTGCCTAGATAATGAGTACTATAAATAATAGCTTCATAATCTTCAGTAAATTTTGGATTTTTTTTGTTAGAACCATTTTCCCCTATCTGATAAAATAAAGTGGTGGGGTAAGGTTAGATCTATCATTATTTAAATGTTAATAACTCCGGACTGGATAATCATAATCCAACAAACGAGGGCTCGTTTAAAAGAACGTTTCTTACTCTATATTATGCCATAAAGATAATAATAATAAGGTTTTGAACATAGACGCTAGGGGGCGCTTTCTTACAATTTAACAAACATAGCGCGTTTTTTTCAAAAAAAAATAAATACAATAGTAGATGTAATTTCAGCTAATAATAAAGAGTAGTAAAAACTTAAAAAGTCAGCGAAAACCGCATCTTGATATCTTCTTGCAAACCAAAGATATTAGCAAAATTATAATAAATACCAAAAATAAGCCCTTAATTACCTTATTTTTACAACACGGTATCAGTAGCCCTCTTGATTATGTCCATTTTAACAAAAAATAAGATAAAAACAGTTAGTTTATTTAAAAATCGACGAAATACCAGAATACCATAATACCAGATGTATTCATATCTAATAATTAAGATATTAATAACAGTGAACAAGAAACGATGATTCAGTGAAGTCATGGTAGGCTTTGGAAAAAAAGTTGCTTGTGACGTAATAGTATAAACGTCAAATTGTTATTAGATCAACATTTTTGATAGTCTTTTATCTTTTGATTGCTTTTTCAAAATGCCTTTATTATTTGAAGTAGTTGAAGTTTTCGGCATTTTGAGACTATCAAAATGTTGATCTAATAACAATTTGACGTTTATACTATTACGTCAAAAGCAACTTTTTTTCCAAAGCCTACCATGACTTTACTGAATCATCATTTCTTGTTCACTGTTATTAATATCTTAATTATTAGATATTAATACATCTGGTATTATGGTATTTCGTTGATATTAAAATAAACTAACTGTTTCTATCTTATTTTTTTGTTAAAATGGGCATAATCTAGAGGGCTACTGCTACCGTGTTATAAAAATAAGATAGTTAAGGGCAAATTTTTTCGTATTTATTATATTTTTGCTAATATCTTCAGATTGAAAAAAGATATCAAGATGCGGTTTTCACTGACTTCTTAAATTTTATTCCTCTTTACAATCAGCTGAAATTACATATACCATTGTATTTAATTTTTTTGGGATACCCCGCATTGTTTGTTAAATTGCAAGACAGCGCCCTCTAGCGTCTACTGTTAAAGGCATATTATTATTGTTTATATGGTTTTATATAGAGTACGAAACACTCTTTTAAACGAGCCCTTACTTGTTAGATTCCGGTCATCCAGTCCGGAGTTATTAACATTTGAATAAAAACAGATCTAACTAATTTCCAGCAATTTCTCATGGCCTCTTTAGTTACAAATATTTTTTTCCTCGGGTTCTACGGCCAATACTTTCCGAGATACAGCCGAGAGCTATTCTTAGTGGGACACCCGGTACATTCATAACAGATGATATATCGGAAACACGGTGCGGTTAGGATACACCCAACGGATATGGATACAGCAATATTGTAAAATAGAATATTTTATAAAATTGCTGTTTAATAGAATATCTATTTATTAGCCTGAAATATGCTTTTCACTTGAGTCTATTACGCAGTACTCTTTCGGGCGCTCTCATGGGTCGGGTAAAGCGGGTGTGTAGCCGAAGGAAATATATATTATTTTTCAGAAATCTGCCTAAGGCTTAGCTCGATCCTATCGTTTTAAGTCACACCGAAAATTCCAAACACACGTGCTTTGATTAAGGTTTGCAGAACTTCAGCATTTGCCATAAAATAGCGAGAAATTTGTTACAAAACTATTATAAATTATATATACCACGATAATCACAAAACTTCAATCTATTTCCGCATTGTAACGGAATTTTAATTTGGAAAAATTGGGTCTTTATTTTGGAAAAAATTTAGTCCAAACATAAGGAATATTCTGTTGATGATTGACTATCAAAATCTTAAAAATAAAGTTGTTTAAAAATGTGCTTCAAAACGGATATAGTATAATCCTTTATATTTAATTTCCTTCTTCATTTGTGTAAAAATACCTAGCCAGTTTTACGTAAAACGTTAAATGCCCAACGCTTATTTTGCTACCTTTTCGGACTAGTAAAATGGACTAAATATTAGCTACAATATATTACGGTACAGTATATTATGGTATACAGGGTGGTCCAAATTGTTCTCGGGAAACTTCCGCAGCATATTCTGCAGATAAAAATAAGTAAAACAATTCCTATAAATATATTATGTCTTAAAATGCTTCGTTTCGGAGATACACTGTGTATAAATTTCATTTTTATTTCGTTTTTTTTCTAAATAATTTCTGAACTATAGTCAATATTTCTATAAAAATTGGTGTCTGTGTATTTTTTGACATGAGAAATTTCATTTCGATGTCAATATGACTCCTACTTGGAGGGGTGCTACTTGTAGGACAAACCCGAAATAAAAATAAAACTTTTACACCCAATATTTGATAAATTTATACACATTTTTTACAAACTAATTTTATTTACAAAATATACTGCCGAAATTTCCCGAATATAATTCGGACCATCCTGTATAAAGACTATGAGGGAAACATAACAGTTATAGTTTTCGCAATTGGATTTTGGATAATCGGGAGTATTCGCAATTTGATAGTTTTGTGAGAGCTTTAAATATGCAGAACAGTTAGTCTAAAAACGATCAATGAGAGAATGTAGTATGAATGTAGAATATTTAGGAGGGGAGTTAACCACCGCGACCTTGACCGATCTATTGTGTTTTCAACTTTCTAGAGTTATAACGAGTTATAACTCATCGTACAGTCTCAGGGCTTTAACAAAAGCCAGTATCTGAGACGGTTTCACAGAGGCCAACTCTCTATCCTCGAAATCAGCCGTACCAAAGTTTATGGCACGAACGGCAGTCGCCTCGGCACACTCAGTGATAAGGTGTTCTGGTGTTTCCCCATTTTTCCCACAGAATCTGCATTTGCCGTTGCTCAGCTTCAGCCTACTGACGTGTTCGTTGAGGAGACAGTGTCCCGTTAGAAACCCCGTGACAATCCAAAGATTGTTTTTACTTAAATCAAAGAAAATCTTCGATTTTTCTCGTTCGTAAGTTCTAAGGAACTTTGTCGAGTGTCTTAGACTGTTGAAGGACTGCCATTCCAGGTTACAGATGGAGTCTTCCAGGATCCTCAGCTCCGCCTTTAGTTGGTTGGAAAACAGGCGCTTAGAATACAGAACGGTTCTGGTTAGTAAAGTGTTCGCTCCTATTCTAGCTAGATCATTTGCTTTTTCCATGGCCTTCTATTCTTTGGTGAGCGGGCACCCAGAGTAGGAAGACTTTAATTAGGCAAATATAATTTGTTCAGCTTCTCTAGGTATTCTCAGACCAGGACAAAACACTAAAAACATTAGGCAAAGCTATTTCCAAGGCTCCTTGATTAAAAATTACTGTTTTAACACAGCTCTACATTGAAATTTAACATTATTCAACACATTCTAGATTGAAATTTAAAATACGATATTTGTTTAAGCAAATATATCAAAAGTTGACATATGATAAGTCATTCTATTCAGAGTGTCATTTCCTATCGAATAAATTTAAAAATTACGGAGGGTGCCATTTAAAAATCAAAACTTGTAATCATTTCCGGTGGTTCCGGTGAAACAGGAAGTGACCGAAAAGAATACTTCAATCAATCCTAATCTATGTCATATACTAACATAACAAATCTCGTTTTATTCCATCAAAGCTATAATAGGGGTGAGCTTCTTTTGAGGCGCACCCGGTATAAAAGATTTTCACTGGGCAATCCTGTATTTTATTTCCTAACTAATTTTACTGAAATTAAAAAAAAATTAACCCATTTTTCTATTTTTGGATTTCTTTCTATACTACCTATGTTTTCAAAACTGTACACCTTCTTTTATTTTGATAATAGGGTGAGTCTTAAATAAGTGCAAATATTTTTAGGGGTAGTACCTATATTTCGACCCCAGAAACAAAATTTGGAATCTTTTTAAAAAAAAATTGAAAAAAATTTGATTTGAAAAATCCGTTAGTAATTTTAATCGTCTGTAATCAAAGCCAAATCAAAACTCTGAAATATGTTATAATTAC